CCCGACGCGGGGCCACGCTGCCCCGACACGCCGGGACGGCCACCGCCGCTCCCCCCACCCCGGCCCCGCCGCCCCCGGGGCAGCGCCACCGGCCCCGGTCCTGCCTGAGCCGTCCGACCCCCCAGTGGTGTGAGGGGCGCGGGAAGGGACCCCATAGGGGTGTGCGGGGGAGAGATCCCCGCTGGTGTGTGCGGGGCGGTGCGTGAGGGGTATGGTAACGAGGTGATTGGGCTTATGGTCCCTACAGGGGTGTGCGGGGGAGGGGTCCCCATCAGGAGGTGCGCTGTCGGGGGCTATGGTCCCCATAGGGGTGTGCGGGGGAATGGTCCCTACTGGTGTGTGCGGGGGGCGGTGCGTGAGAAGGGTGCCCATAGGGGTGTGTGAGCGAGGTGATTTGGGCTATGGACCCCATAGGGGTGTGTGGGGGAGGGGTCCCCATCAGTAGGTGCGGTGTCGGGGGCTATGGTCCCCATAGGGGTGTGCAGGGCCATGGTCCCTAGAGGGGTGTGTGGCCCCTTTACCCGTCTGTGGGTTGTGGTCCTTACTGGGATGGGCAGGGGATGTGGTCCCACTGGGTCAGCTGTTTGCACGGGACAACAGTGCCTACAGGGGCTATGATGGCTGTAGTGTCACAGTCTGTATGGTCCCTAATAGTGCGTGCACTGGCTGTTGTTTCTACATGAGTTTGAGTCTACATGAGCATGAGTTTATGGATCAATGTGTGCAGGGAATATGGTCCCCATGGATGTCTGAGGGCTACATAGAAGCTATAGGTGTGTATGAGTGTTAGGGACCCTCTGGACATACCAGTGACAAGTTCTCTTTCACAGTGCACATGGGAGATATGGTCCTTATGGATGTGTGTGAGCAGACCCTATCAGTGTGCACAAGCTGTTTGGGTTGGGGACCCTAGAGACACCTGGGAGCTCCTGGGGTTAATGGAGTCTGGGTGTCCAAGCAGATCTGCTCGGGCAGCTCGGGGCAGAGCTCCCTCACCCCCTCAGGGAAGTTCTTGCCCCAGGACAGTGTCCACACCACAACCTGCTGCTGGGCAGATGTCCTCAGGACTGTCAGGCACACCGTGGCCATGCTGTCCCCACTGCCCTTCCACTCTCTGCACGGAGACATACCTCCTTGGCTTCACTGGGACTGCTACACCAGCCCAGGGCTGTTGGCACCTGCCCGGGAAGGTGCACTGAGTCCAGCTAGGGCTCAGCCATCGTGCTCAGGGTCAAGAAGGCATCCCCCACCCCAAGCAGTTGGATATACACCCCAAACTAGCCTTCTCTGAACTAGCTCCCCTCGGGGGCAATTCTGGGGTGCTGTAGGGATGGGCTAGCAATGCCCTGGGCTGGCCATACCCAGTGACCACAGGCACAGCCACCACAGCTTTGTTTAAGGTAGTTCTGAGCAGGATTCCTGCAGGTGCAGAAGGAGGTTTCACTGCTCTGAGCCGCTGGGCCCCCATGCCAGAATTTCCTCAAAGTCCTGGTGCTTCCCCGTGTCCCATTGCAAACTAAACTAAAGCCTTTACAAACATTTCCTGAAGACATACAAAGCATTGTCAGCCGTAAGGACACACAGAGGACAGAGGAATCACAGCAAAGAGGAGCACACGTAGTCGGGAACTGAAGTGATGCCCTGTAGCTGTAGGCAAGACCTTTTCAGGAGAGTGGAGAGGGTGGTGTAGGGCGGGGGGAGAGAGAGAGCAGTGGAGAAAAAGAGTAAGACACCCCTGAGAATCCCCTGCCCTGCACCCCTCACCCTGTGAATCATTTTCTTGAGCTACCTAGGTGTGAAAACCCACAGCTCATGTCTGGGGGCATTTTATAGCTCTATTAGGAGACCCCATGGGCTGCCCTGATGCTGGGGGGCACCTGGGGACATCAATCACTTCTTTCCTCAAGAAGACCCACTCTGCAGTGGCCCTAGGAGTACTGAGTTTAACCGATGTGCCCAGGGCTCACTGGTAAATCAACACCATGGGGTCCCCAGGCCTCAGCGGCAACTGACCCCAAACTCAAAAGTAAGGAAGGAGGCAAGTCTAAGGACAATGTGGCATGTGACCGGGGACCCAGGCTTCAGCGGCAACTGACCCCAAACTCAAAAGTAAGGAAGGAGGCAAGTCTAAGGACAATGTGGCATGTGACCACCCAATGTGCCATGTGACCACTCATGTTTGAGATGGTTTAATGCACGTGCCTTCTGAACCCTGACTCCTGTGAGCCCAGCTCATCTGTCCTCCATTGGGGGATGATGCCCCCATCATAAGTATCCTCCAAAACCGTATGTCAAAGGTTGTAAAGTAGATTTGGCTGATGTTGGGAGGCCATCTCCAAACATCCTGGGCCTTCCAGCTCCCCAGCATGGCTTCATCAAAATCACCACGGCAAGAATCTTCAGTCCTAACCTGCCTTGAAGCTTTGTCCTTGCTTCTCCAAGGTAGGTGCTTTGCAAAGGGTAGGAGGTGTCAGGATGTAATGATCTGCTTCTTCTTCCCCTCACCTGGTTGTTCCCCACATACTTGTCCAGGAACGGAGGTCTCTGCAGAGACCCTGCTCCGGGAAGGGGGGCTGTCACTCCAGAGAAAACCCAGCATCCTCTCCCCTGTGGGCAAGTCTCCTTGCTGAAGGCAGTCCTGAGGGACAAGATCCATAGTTCTTAAGACATAAACTGTTGACACTCCTCTGTCCTTAGGCCAAACGTAACAAGGGCACAGAGAGTGTAAAGCAAAACACCATCTCCCAGGAGGGCAGCACTAAGTCATAAGGATTCTGCCCCACAGAATATTTGGGATCTGAGACTGGTCTTTTCTCAGTGTGTCCAGCACCAGCTGAGACTTGGATTCCTCATGCTCCTGTGACTCTGCTACGGCTACATCAGACCAAGGTAACGATGAAGCATCCGGATGCCTCTGCCTCCTACCCCTCAATTTATCAAAACCAATAAGCACGTTAAAGAAGGACAGTCTCCCTGGATCTCCTGTATAATCCCATTGCCTTGCCCAGAGCCAAAAGAGTGGGATGGAAAAATCTAAAGCAAATGTGTCAGAGGAGCAGATTTCTGGGACTTTCTGGGGGCTTGTGGCTGAGTCGCTGGCTGCGGAAGGGAAGGACAACAGCCGAGACGCTTGCAGAGAAAATTACTCTGCTCCATCTAACCACACTCCAGGAAGATCACTCTGGTGACAGCTCCACTCCCAACTTCATGTCCACCTGGAAGTCACCACAAGATCTCCAGCACTTTCTCTTTATCTCAAGTCCCCTCCTCCCCAGGTTGCTTTTATCAGCGTGCCTGTTTCAGAGCTGTTTTCTTGTTTATCTCCTTTTGCTGGGTGCTTTCATGTCTCTCCTGGAGATGCCACGGCTGCTGGCAGTGAAGGGAAGTGCAGGTTCAGTAACTTCTGTTTAATCTCTTTCAAACACAGAACCATTCACCTTTAGCTCATTTTCCCTGTCACCTCTTGTCGGACTCTGGTGACTTTGTGAGGAGTTTGCAATGAGTCTGATGTGCTCAAAAAGCTGATTCTTCCTCATCAAGGGATTAAATGGTGACCGTGAAGCTTTATTAAAATGAGCCCAGCACTTTGGACCTAATTTTCCTTCTAAAATTAATGTAGCTACAAAAAGCTAATAATAGGAGTTTTGTGGATTATTTCTATGAAGCTGAATTCTTTCTTGCTTGACTAGATATGGGCTTGCTTTAGGAATGTAGCAAAAGTAAAGGGTAGATCCCAAGCTCCTTATAAGACTTTTTACTCCCAAAAACAAGGCAGATGGTGAATGGGAACCAGACAGGGAAATGTGGGGGGGACAAGTGCAGTGACAACAGAAACTGAGACGGCAGGGGACTCGCGCACAGCGATACGAGCAGTGCCAGATGTGATCAGCTCCTTATGCACTTTCCTAAGCAGCTGCTTCAAAATAAAGGACAAGAAACTAGCTCGGAAAAGGGACATTTCATCAGCTTTTAGTGGTTGGTTTATTCTCTGGTGCCTGAGAGAATTCTGTGTTTTATATGGTTCTGCGTGGTTTGAGGAACTGTGATTATCTTTACCCACAGGAGCATCTTGTTTCTTTCTCATTCTTCCTTTCCATCCAGCCACTGTGGCAGTGAATGTCACAGGCTCACGATGTCCTCCAGCAGTGACGTATGTGTCTGTCTTTGGGGCATTCTCAGCACTTAAGCCTCCATTTTCTGTCTCGGTGAGGGGGGAGGAGGTTGCCAGGGCTGTTGACAGATGTGGACACCGTTTTCCAGACAACTTACCCCCCTGTGCAATGTGGGGGACGGAGATGTTGCCGCCGCCTGCAGCAATGTCAGCAGCAGGAGGTGCCACTGGACTGGACAGGGGTTCAGGGAGTCCACTGATGTCTCACCCAAGGAGACCTTTGGCCAGGCAGTTCATCAATGCACTCGCTTGAAATGTCCACGTGGGCCATCTATAAACACAAGACAAAGAAACTTCTCCAGCTAATGATTGATTCTTCATTATTTATCCCAGCCTGCTTACAGAGAGTGCTTCAGAAAGTGCTTCTGCTACTGCAAACTCCAGGGTCCTGTAATCAGGTGAACGGAGGCCAGCTCGGTGTCTTCTCCTGGGGAAGAAGCTCTGCCACAAAGCTGACCAGCAACACCCACAAAGTTCCTCCAGTGATGCTCTGTGGCATGGAGGGGGACAGTGCTGATGCCTGCACAGCTCACACATTCATTTTCTGCTGCTTCTACTTTTTCTTCTGCTTTGACCTCCTCTAAAACACACTTACCCAGCAAGCACTGGTGTGGGGGTACCAGAGGGATTCTCCTCCTTTCTTCATGCATGGATGAAGATCTGTGTGCAGAGAGCCAGCTCTATGGTCCCTCCAACAGTCCCTTCCTAGCTGATAGAGCCTTGCTTCACCCAAAGGGAGTTCACCCTGCACTTCGTGAAATCTTGTGATGCTTTCTTGACAGTAACAGGAAGTCTAGCACAAGGTAGACCTTCCAACTATTCACTGCAATGGGTGGCATCCCCTGGGGATCCAGGCAGAAAGAAGGGAATACAGAGACCTCAGCAGGGGCTTCTTCTCCTTTGCTAGTATCTACTATGCTATGGTTCCTCAAGACCTGCCCAACAGTTTGGGCAAGACGTCTTAAACTGCTTTGGCTTTCTACCTTTGCACTGCAAACTGGGACCTTGCCACAGGCTGGGTTTTGTCTCAACCTGTGAAGGTCAATGTATTGGTTAAGTTTAGACTAGCAGGTGACTGGTGCAGGTATCTTACCCCCATATTGGATATAGGTGGTCAGTTTCCTTTACCTTGCTGTATGTACGCAGAAGGGAATCCAGTGAGAGCTTTTCTTTTACATATCATTACTGTTGCTGTTGTTATTTCCATCACCATCGTGGCACCAGCCTGTCTCACTACCACACGGGCAGACTTCTCCTCTTCCAGCACCAAGGCAGGAGCTGCTGCATGATGGTCCAACAGATCTGACTTTCCCATGGGAT